GAAAACTCACACCCCAGAAGTGACTCGAACCCATACTCCCAGAAGCAACGCAACTGGTAACTGGTAACTACAGGGCGCCTTAATCCGCTTGACCATCACGGCCATCAAAAGGAAGTGATAGCCGAGGCTATTTGAGCCACTTCCCCGACGGCAACTCGGATGGTAATCTTGGGCATAGCATTTCACCAAATCACCTCATTCTTTGGGGCACACGTGAGGAACACAAATGCGAACAAGCCTGAATGGTCCCCAGGACTATATGCGAATGAAAACTCACACCCCAGAAGTGACTCGAACCCATACTCCCAGAAGCAACGCAACTGGTAACTACAGGGTGCCTTAATCCGCTTGACCATCACGGCCGTCAAAAGGAAGTGATAGCCGAGGCTATTTGAGCCACTTCCCGACGGCAACTCGGATGGTAATCTTGGGCATAGCATTTCACCAAATCACCTCATTCTTTGGGGCACACGTGAGGAACACAAATGCGAACAAGCCTGAATGGTCCCCAGGACTATATGCGAATGAAAACTCACACCCCAGAAGTGACTCGAACCCATACTCCCAGAAGCAACGCAACTGGTAACTACAGGGCGCCTTAATCCGCTTGACCATCACGGCCGTCAAAAGGAAGTGATAGCCGAGGCTATTTGAGCCACTTCCCCGACGGCAACTCGGATGGTAATCTTGGGCATAGCATTTCACCAAATCACCTCATTCTTTGGGGCACACGTGAGGAACACAAATGCGAACAAGCCTGAATGGTCCCCAGGACTATATGTGAATGAAAACTCACACGCCAGAAGTGACTCGAACCCATACTCCCAGAAGCAACGCAACTGGTAACTACAGGGCGCCTTAATCCGCTTGACCATCACGGCCGTCAAAAGGAAGTGATAGCCGAGGCTATTTGAGCCACTTCCCCGACGGCAACTCGGATGGTAATCTTGGCATAGCATTTCACCAAATCACCTCATTCTTTGGGGCACACGTGAGGAACACAAATGCGAACAAGCCTGAATGGTCCCCAGGACTATATGCGAATGAAAACTTGACGCCCGTGATGGTCAAGCGGATTAAGGCACCCTGTAGTTACCAGTTGCGTTGCTTCTGGGAGTATGGGTTCGAGTCACTTCTGGGGTGTGAGTTTTCATTCGCATATAGTCCTGGGGACCATTCAGGCTTGTTCGCATTTGTGTTCCTCACGTGTGCCCCAAAGAATGAGGTGATTTGGTGAAATGCTATGCCCAAGATTACCATCCGAGTTGCCGTCGGGGAAGTGGCTCAAATAGCCTCGGCTATCACTTCCTTTTGACGGCCGTGATGGTCAAGCGGATTAAGGCGCCCTGTAGTTACCAGTTGCGTTGCTTCTGGGAGTATGGGTTCGAGTCACTTCTGGGGTGTGAGTTTTCATTCGCATATAGTCCTGGGGACCATTCAGGCTTGTTCGCATTTGTGTTCCTCACGTGTGCCCCAAAGAATGAGGTGATTTGGTGAAATGCTATGCCCAAGATTACCATCCGAGTTGCCGTCGGGGAAGTGGCTCAAATAGCCTCGGCTATCACTTCCTTTTGACGGCCGTGATGGTCAAGCGGATTAAGGCGCCCTGTAGTTACCAGTTGCGTTGCTTCTGGGAGTATGGGTTCGAGTCACTTCTGGGGTGTGAGTTTTCATTCGCATATAGTCCTGGGGACCATTCAGGCTTGTTCGCATTTGTGTTCCTCACGTGTGCCCCAAAGAATGAGGTGATTTGGTGAAATGCTATGCCCAAGATTACCATCCGAGTTGCCGTCGGGGAAGTGGCTCAAATAGCCTCGGCTATCACTTCCTTTTGACGGCCGTGATGGTCAAGCGGATTAAGGCGCCCTGTAGTTACCAGTTGCGTTGCTTCTGGGAGTATGGGTTCGAGTCACTTCTGGGGTGTGAGTTTTCATTCATATATATATATATATATATATATATATATATATATATATATATATATATATATATATATATATATATATATATACATATGTATATATACATATATATATGTATATATATATATGTGTATATATATATATATATATACCTACATTTGGGTGAGGTGACATGTTACAATAGTTTTGGATGAGGTGAAAATAAACTTTTAACAAAAGACAGAACACGAAACAATGAAATACAAACAGGTATTAAAGGTAGGTAACTGCAGAAGGCCTATTTTTATTGGCCCATATTTCTTGATGCTTCTATATTGGAGCGGAGTCTTGAAGTGGGTAGAATATAGTTGTGCATTAATTGGCTGTTGATTGCTGGTGTTGACTTCTTGATGTGTAGTGCCTCGCAGACGTCGAGCCGCATTCTATCGCTGTATCTATCGATGATTTCTGTGTTGTTTGCTAAGATTTCTCTGGTGATGGTTTGGTTGTGGGAAGAGGCTATATGTTCCTTAATGGAGCCCTGTTGCTTATTCATCGTTAAACGCCTGGAAAGAGATGTTGTTGTCTTGCCTATATACTGAGTTTTTTGAGGCTTACAATCCCCAAGAGGGCATTTGAAGGCATAGACGACGTTGGTCTCTTTTAAAACGTTCTGCTTTGTGTCTGGAGAGTTTCTCATGAGTAGGCTGGCCGTTTTTTTGGTTTTATAGTAAATTGTCAGTTGTATCTTCTGATTTTTGTCTGTAGGGATAACGTTTCTACTGACAATATCTTTCAGGATCCTTTCCTCCGTTTTATGGGCTATGGAAAAGAAGTTCCTGTAAAATAGTCTAATAGGGGGTACAGGTGTTGTGTTAGTTGTCTCTTCAGAGGTTGCATGGCGTTTCACCTTCCTTCTTATGATGTCTTCAACGAAACCATTGGAGAAGCCGTTGTTGACTAGGACATGCCTTACCCTACAGAGTTCTTCATCGACTTGCTTCCATCCTGAGCTGTGGCTGTGAGCACGGTCGACATAAGCGTTAACGACACTCCTCTTGTACCTGTCTGGGCAGTCACTGTTGGCATTCAGGCACATTCCTATGTTTGTTTCCTTAGTGTAGACTGCAGTGTGGAAAACTCCGCTCCTTTCCATGACTGTTACATCTAGAAAGGGCAGCTTCCCATCCTTCTCCATCTCATAAGTGAAACGCAACACAGAATTCCGCTCAAATGCCTCCTTCAGCTCCTGCAGATGTCTGATATCAGGTACCTGTGTAAAAATGTCGTCAACATACCTGCAGTATATGGCCGGTTTCAAGTTCATGTCAACTAAGACCTTTTGTTCGATGGTACCCATGTAGAAGTTCGCAAACAGGACACCTAGGGGAGAACCCATGCGACCCCATCTACTTGCTTATACATGTGCCCATCCGGGCTCAAGAAGGGTGCCTCTTTAGTACAAGCTTGGAGTAGTTTCCTTAGAATAGCGGGTAGCTGCATCCTGAGAAGGCGCAGCGACGACACGTGTACCGTAAATGGTGGTGTTAAAAGTAACAGAGGCATCTACTGAATCAACAAGGTGTTTATGGAGGTAGAAATCGTCAGGAGGTGTAGAATCCAGAGGAAGGAGATCAAAGTATTTAGCCCACGAAGCAGGACCAAACAAGGCTTGGTAGGTATTAGAATGGGAAGGGATCATGCAAGTACGGCCGTGGTGGGGACGGCGTTGAGAACCCCCAGCGAGAGAGAGGCTAAAAGGCGGAGCAGTCACAATGAGAGACTGAGCCGTGCCAGGGGACGAGGTGGTCACCACTGGGGGCTTGTGGCTCGACCCAACTACAGAGGATGGAGGGGAGCCGATGGGAGTAGTCAGGAGGGTCAAAGGAGGAGCTAGGTCTGGGCTCAATGTAGCAGGTGCTACAGAGCCCAGTCTTCCAACGCAGTCCGACTCGGGGCTTGGTCGCCCACCCCACGAGCCTGAGAAGTCATAAGAGGAACAGGAGTCATCGGCATGAAGACGAGAGGGAAGACTTGCATTCACGAATGTGCCCCTTACCCACCATTGAGCCACAATTAGAGGATAGGACACCCAACAAGAGACTTGTTGCTGGTCTTGCAGGGGGCCGCCCAGGGGTGCGTCGTGAGTATACGCCCCACAAACGTCACCTTAAGAACCGTCAGTCCGTCGAGATCGGGTTCAGTGACGAAAGAAGGAGTGACAATAAAAGCGTCCGCTCGTTCGAGACGTTGGGTACCACAGTTCTACGGGTGAGAGAGTATGCCTACCCAAACACCCAGGCATCAATACAATAGAGGTCCGAATGAATATTCAAGACTGGCAAAGGTCGGCAGGAAATGACAATTAGAAAGGAGAAGAGGTGGGGAGATAAATGAAACACAAGGAAAAGATATCTGGCAAAATTGATGAAGACAGCAGCAGGAGCATAAGGCTTCAAAATGACAGAGGACTGACCCCTGGAGCATCACACCCCGGCAGCCGCCCACCAAGCCCCCTCACGACAACAACGGGCCAGAAAGGGAGGGGGTTCGGAAGTGGTGAAGTACCATCAACAAAGGCGTCACAGCAGAAGTCAACTACAGTCAACAAATTCATTACGGAAAAGATGAACTATCACAAAAGAGTTTCCACGGAAGGGGAGAAGATCATCATGTCTCACTAATTAAAACAAATTTTATCAACCTGGTATTTCTGTGTACTAAAACACAGGAGTATTTTACTTGCTGTTGGGTTTCAGATCTTTCAGACCCGGGGGGGGGGGATAACGCGGCCACCAAAGTAGTTTATTCACTAATTAAGCAAGATTTTTTTATTCCTGAATTAGTTAAAATAAATTCTTAATGTCAATACAGCGGTAAATGATATACACATACTCAGTATATTTACACAGAAGTGGAATACACTTCTTCCTGAATATATCCGTCGACACATTAACACACCAAACAAAACTTGTAACAAAGACTACTTTGAGAAACATTGTTTCCGTTGATAAATGTGTTTGCTTAAAACTGATATTAGTTAAAATATACATAAATAAATAATTGTAATGAAAAATAAGTTAGAGCCGTAGTACGTACCCAGCGTGTTCTGGTACAACCTTCTCCAACAAAGTTAGCGGCACATCTATGAGAACTGTTGGCCATGAGGAGGAAACATTTGCTTAAAACAGGTGTTCATGCTGTTACGTGTCGTGCATATGCGCATGAGCAGAGAGGGGAGACGGAGCTAGTACTTCAGCAGAGATGGAGACTGTGATAATACTTCAGCAGAGAGGGGAGACGGAGCTAGTACATCAGCAGAGATTGGAGACTGTGATAATACTTCAGCAGAGAGGGGAGACGGAGCTAGCACATCAGCAGAGATTGGAGACTGTGATAATACTTCAGCAGAGAGGGGAGACGGAGCTAGCACATCAGCAGAGATTGGAGACTGTGATAATACTTCAGCAGACAGGGGAGACGGAGCTAGCACATCAGCAGAGATTGGAGACTGTGATAATACTTCAGCAGAGAGGGGAGACGGAGCTAGCACATCAGCAGAGATTGGAGACTGTGATAATACTTCAGCAGAGAGGGGAGACGGAGCTAGTACATCAGCAGAGATTGGAGACTGTGATAATACTTCAGCAGAGAGGGGAGACGGAGCTAGCACATCAGCAGAGATTGGAGACTGTGATAATACTTCAGCAGAGAGGGGAGACGGAGCTAGTACATCAGCAGAGATTGGAGACTGTGATAATACTTCAGCAGAGAGGGAAAACAGTGCTAACACTTCAGTAGGGAGGGGACACGGTCAAAATATTACAAAACATATGGACTCAATATTAACATTACACTATGGAAGGGACACAGTACTAACATCAAAATAAAGAGGGCAAACGTCATTAACATTACAAAAGAGCTGGTAAACGTTACTAACACTACAATAGAGAGGGGAAACAATGCTAGAGGGGACAGAGAGGGAATACAATACTAAACATACAACAGAGAAAAGACACGGAAATAACACTACAACAAAGATAAGACACGATACTATCAATACAAAATAAGGTAGACAAGGTACGATAATTACAGCAGAGAGGAGACACTAGCAACAATACAACAGAGTGCGGACTAAATGTTAACATTATAACAGAGAGCGGACTAAATATTAACATTATAACAGAGAACGGACTAAATATTAACATTATAACAGAGAGCGGACTAAATATTATCATTATAACAGAGAGCGGACTAAATATTATCATTATAACAGAGAGCGGACTAAATATTATCATTATAACAGAGAGCGGACTAAATATTAACATTATAACAGAGAGCGGACTAAATATTAACATTATAACAGAGAGCGGACTAAATATTAACATTATAACAGAGAGCGGACTAAATATTAACATTATAACAGAGAGCGGACTAAATATTAACATTATAACAGAGAGCGGACTAAATATTAACATTATAACAGAGAGCGGACTAAATATTAACATTATAACAGAGAGCGGACTAAATATTAACATTATAACAGAGAGCGGACTAAATATTATCATTATAACAGAGAGCGGACTAAATATTATCATTATAACAGAGAGCGGGCTAAATATTATCATTATAACAGAGAGCGGACTAAATATTATCATTATAACAGAGAGCGGACCTGGTTGATGGGGTTCTGGTAGTTCTACTCCCCAAGCCCTGCTCGAGGCCAGGCTTGACTTGTGAGAGTTTGGTCCACCAGGCTGTTGCTTGG